CGCCGCCCCCTGCCGAGCCGACGAGCGCGCCCCACGCGCCGGCAGTAGAGGGCAGGCGAGGCGAGAGGCCCAGCTCGGCACCCGGTGCCGCCCTGGCGGCGCAGTGCGTCAGCACATCCTGGGTCAACGCGCGGTTCGAGGAAGCCTCGAAGTGGCTCAGCGAGAAGGTCGGGCGCGCGCTGGGCGCTGCGCTGCGTCAACTCATCTACTTCCTGAAGGGGATGGTCGACGCCCTGGGTCGTTACCTATTAGGGGGGCACTGGGCGCAGCTGCAGTGGGCGGCCATGGGGCTCGCGGCGCTCGGGGCAGCCACCGCCCCGGGCTCCGTCGTTGTCATTGCTTTGTGGTTCCTCCGGAAGGCATGGGCGCATGCTGCGTTCATCGCGAGCGCGCTGAGGTGCTTTGCTGGCGGCAGCAAGACGGAACATGATAAAATGGCGGCCTTGGAGTGCGACGCAGCCTCGGCCCTGCCCTGGCACGGCCCATCCGAGGTCGTGAGGGTGGACGAAGTCTTCGCGGAGAAGAACCCTAAGGTCCGTAGGGACTAGAAAACCGGCCTTATCGCTGGGACTATTTTAAAATAGTCCCAACATGAAAAATAGTCCCAACATATGTATTCAATAAAATATAATGTTAAACGTGCACGCACTCAACAAAAACGCGTTATATTTATCATAGCAGAGGTGATCGTGAAAATGTCGCAATGTTCTTAAATGTAGCTGGAATCCTTCTCGATGTTTCAGCTCATGTGTTCAGATTGGTCTCTCGATGTCAGTTTTGTTTGTGCGTTTGGTTGCAGCTGCAGCCATTTTGGCTGGTCGGCCATGTCGGCCGACGAGGGGCCGCCCCGCGCGGCCAAGAAGGGCGCCGTCCGCTCGGAGGGCTTCAAGGATGCTGGCGCGCTGGCGGAGGTGTTGAAGCGTTTCATCGTTTCTCCAGAAACGTTGCGAGCTCAGGCGCAATCGGGATGGGTTCCAGATCGCGTTCCCGATCGCTGGTCGATCGTGGACAAGAATGGGGGGAAGGAGGACGAGCAGGAGAAGGAGGAGGGGGAGAGGAGGGAGAGGAAGAGGGGGAAGTTGACGGCGACCATCATTGCACTTTCAAAAAAACGGAAAAGAGAAGGGTAATGACGAGGAGGAGAAGGAAGGGGGGAGGGAGAGAGGGAGCGAGAGAGAGAGAGAGAGAGAGAGAGAGAGAGAAAGAAGGAGAGAAAGAGAGAGAGAGAGAGAGAGAGAGAAACAGGGAGAGAGAGAGAGAGAGACAGAGAGAGAGAGGGAGAGGGAGAGGGAGAGGGAGAGGGGGGGAGGGGGTGGGAGAGAGAAGGGGGATAGGAAAAAAAAGTGGAGGAGGAGGACGATGAGGAACTGCAGAGGGGAGGCCAGGCACGGAAATCAAGACAGAGACAGAGAGGAGGAGGAGGAGGAAGGAGGAGGAGGAGGAGGCGGCGGAGGAGGATGATGATGAGGAGGAGGAGGAGAAGCAAGAGGAGGAGGAGGAGCAAGAGGGAGAGACAGGGAGAGCAGATCGGCAACGTAAGGTTGCAGTATTCGGAGGATATCGACGCGCCCGCGGACGAGAAGATTATCGCGGGCCATGTCGAGCTGTTGACTGCTGTTCGCGAACTTGCTCCAAAAGGTGGCATTCCTCAACAGACTGCGACGGCGGGAGTCGGGTCTGGAATACCTTCCTTTCTCTGGTTTCTGCTACTTTTCTCCCTCCTTACCCACCCCCCCTGCCTCTCCGCTCCTTCCATGCCATCCTCCCCGTGTTCCTCCTCTCGTCATCCGCCCTCTTCTCTCTCGAATGTTTCCCTTTTGATCCAGCTCTCGATCCTCCTCTCGATCCCCATCTCCATCCACTGCCACCCTCATCCCTTCTTCCCCAAGAAGGCGGCGTTTGACATCGTGAGCGCCAGGGAGGAGAAGATGTGGCGCCTCGCGGACGAGCGACTCGAGTGGTGCAAGGCTCGCGCGAAGATGCTGAGGGGCATGCTCAGAGGGGTTTGCAGGGCGACGTCGAGGATTGAAACGCTGAAAAAATTGTTTTCGACTCGCACCCACGTTGGTCGCCCCCTTTTACCTTGCCCCCTACGTGCCTTGACCTCCTAGATGTATTTTGCCACCACCCCTGGCGGGGTTATCATCTTCATGGGGGTGCAGCCAGGTCAAACGTTGTTCGGGCTGTCATCGATGATGTCATCGAACTGTCATCGCGATGACGGCTCGATGACATATCGATGACGGTTCGATTCGCGCCGCCACGCCCCCCCCCGGACACCGCCCCCCCCCCCCAGCAGGACGAAGCCGCCTGATTGGTGCCACCCGTTCCTCAGCAGCGTGGGCGAGGACAGCCAGCAGCCCGAGAGGCAGAGCAGCGCTCGTGGTCCAGCCGAGGAGCTCAAGGGGAACATTGAGTGTTCTCCTCAGTCTCCTCCACCTCCCTCATTTCCTCATCCTCTTCCTTTCAACTCCCAACCATCCCCCTGGTCCTTCCTTAGCAATATCCCTCGCCCTTCCCATCCTGCCCTTTCTAATCCCCCTGCATCCGCACTCTCCATATTTTTCACCGCCTCTTCACCCGCGATTTCCGCTTTCCTTCTAGCCCGCCAGAGGAGACGCCCATCAAGCGCCTGTCCGCGAAGGCGAAGTGCGTTCTGACTCCCTTGGCCACGATGGGCGGCTACAAGCTCGGGTGGCAGAGCGAGATGCAGGCATTGACTGCAATCCAACTCTCCACCCACACGGCCTCCGACTCCTCCTGCCGACGGCCACCTCCATCATGTCACCCTCTCCTTCTGTTCCTCTCCCTCCTTCTCGTCATCGCCCTCGTCATTATTATCCGAATCTTCCTCCCCATGTTCCTTCGTCGCCACCGCTATCCACCGCTCCCACCCCCCCTCCTTCTCACCCCTTTCCCTCCTCCTCCTCTTCCTCCTTCTTCTCCTCCCTCCCCCTCCTCTTCCTCCTAATCACCTCCCCCCCCTCCGTGCATCCTCCTTCAGACGGGAAGAAATGAGACGTGCGTTGACTGCCTCCCTAGTCAGCTTGGCGCATCCTGGAGGGCTCGAGCAGCGCGAACCCTGAGTTCACCGTGGCTCGCGCAGAGCCAGGCCGCAAGGGCTTGCTGGCTACCTGGAGCGACGGTTTCGAGTGGGAGGTCGATGGGGCCAAACCGAGCGTTTCGGATTTCACTCGTTTGCAGGGGTCCAGAGGTATCATGGTTCCCAGGGGTTCGCAAATCCAAAGTTGGCATTGTTTTTTTCCCCTAACCCGCCCCTGGTCTACATCACGTCAAATCTCAGCGTCGGTCGACATTCCCATCCTCGTCCCTCTCCAGCGCATCCTCCTGTCACCTTCCGTCCTTCGTAGTCGTGGCAGTCTTCCTTCGTCGTCGCCTCCTCCTCGTCACCCCCCCTCCTCACCCTTCCCCCATCGCCCCTCCTCCTACGTCGCCTTCTCCTAACCCCTTTCCCCCCCCTTCTCATGAACTCCTCATCAGCCTGATTTTTTCCGCCAGGTCATCGGCACGGTCGCGGAGCAGCACGACGATGACGACCAGAGGAAGAAAAAGAAGAGCAACAACTTGATCTGGGAGATGGACCACCACTCGAGCGGCAAGAAGGTCAAGTTGCTCTGGGTGCATCGGGATGGAGCCGCGAGTCTGCTCCAGGCGACCCACGGAACGCAACTCATGCAGATGGGGGGGTTTCCGCAGGACGAGTACCAGAAATCATTGGCGGTCGCCTTCATGATCGCGCAGTTGGAGATGTTCGCGAAGGGCGAGGCAACGAAGCCTGACATGGAGGCCCAGAAGGCGGAGTACCTCAAGCCGTTCGCCAAGGCAAAGAGCAAAGCCAAGGCCAAGGGGAAACCCAAGGCGCAGCCCAAGAAGAAGGAGAAAGCAGATGACGACGACGAAGCCTCGGAAGAAACTCCGAAACCGAGAGAGAAGAAGGTCGAGCCGATGGACGACGACGAGAAGACTTCAGTGAAAAGCGATGACGATAGTGCTGGCGAGGAGCAGGCTGACGAGCTAGCTGGCAGTGACGACGGTGGTGCATCTTCCGATATCGATCCGTATGCTAGTGGTCGTACGCCAATGGACGGGTGCATCGGGGACCACGCGAAGGTTTCTCTTAAGAGGCCAGCTGCAGCAGAGGTCGCCGCTCCAGAGAGCGCAACGCAGCCCAAGAAGGCCAAGAAGGACAAGAATGCCGAGGAGATCGACAAGACGGCCATCGCGGAGAGCAAGCGCACCGAGAGCATTGAGCACATCCTTGTGGACAAGTCCGACGACAAGAGCAAGGAGGCCGGAGGTGGCCAGTCAGCAGCGACGGCATCATCACCAGCGGGCACGACAGCGGCGCCGACATCGGCTACGCCAGCAGCTACACCAGCAACTACGCAGGCGGCGGCGCCGCCGAGGGCATCGGGGACGCCAACTCCAGCGGCGCCCGAGGCGGCGCGCCGAGCGGCGCCAGCAGGCATCCCGAAGCTCAGGCAGATTCCCATGAGCTTCTGGGATTAGTTGCTGAGGGTTTTCCAGCGGGCAGCTCGGATGACGAGCTGGCGGGGAGCTGGGCGAACAAAAAAAAATGTGATCGTCTCAGAGTTGTTTTGGGACCTGGGGTCCGCGACCAGGAAACATATCCAAAGACTCATTGGCCTAGGAGGGCCACGAAGCGACTTGGCGATGCTGGCCGATGCTGGGCGATGCATCGAGATCGAAAAGAAGAGCAGAAACGAACGCCCATGTCATCGGGAAGTTGTCAGATGAACCTTTGGATTGGTGCTACCCCCGTCGTCTTGTCATCCACTCACTTCTCTTCCGACCGAGTCGGTCTTCCATCGGAAGTCGGGAGGATTCTATCGGAGATTCAAACTCGACCGCAGCCGTTGGCAGCCGAGGCCCTGGCCTGCATGGGCCGCCGCGGTAGTTCAGATTTCGGGAACGGGAATCTTTCCAGGATCCCCTTCGCTCGCACCCCGATCGGGCGGATGTTGTCCGCTCAGCAGACCGCGAGCCAGCAGCCTGCGGACTCTGGAGGGACGCTGCAGTACCAAGGCCTCGAGGGCGCCACCCCGCGTCCAGCTTACGACTCGCAGACGCAGCCCGACAGCTTCGGCGAGCCCTTAGCGCTGGACACCACCCTGGACACTCTGCCCAATGACGAGCCCGTGCCGAGCGCCGAGCCTTCCCCTGCCTCGCTGCTGGAGTCGGACGACGATGATGACGGTCGAGACGCAGCCGAGCCCATCGTCAAGCTCGAGAGCGAGGCAGCCCAGCCCATCGTGGTTGCCGAGGCCGAGGAAGCTGACGAAGTCGGTGACGGCGCTGCTGCAGTGACGCAGCCTGCGGTCGTCGAGGCTGCCACTCCCCCTCGCAAGGGCTCAATTCCTGATGTGCCTGAAACGTCAGACGAGGAGAACGGGGGGGACACGGTATCAGCGGAGGACGATGAGATGTACATGATGCAGCAGGAGGAGAAGTTGAACCAGATGAAGAGGCGAGTCGAGATGATTGCGAAGAAGATCGATGCTCGTTCGACTCGGAGACGCGTGGCAGTGCCGAAGGCGGATGCGAGTACAGCTAAGGTGGCACGGTCGTGCTTTCAAACCAAATCATATCCTCCTTATCTTGCTGGTCCTCTTCATCCTTTCCTTCCTGCTGATCATCCCCCCTTTCTCATCCTTGCCTTCCTCTCTTCGCCTCGCCCTCCTGCTCATCCTCCTGCGGTGCCTCGTCTCCTCCTGCGTTGCCTCCCTCCGCATCCGCCCTCCTCCTTTTTTGCGGACTCAGGTGGCGGAGCCCGCCGAGGCGGCCGCGGCCGCGGCGAGCGGCGCAGAGGGCGAGGTCGGCGCCATCGCATCGACTGGCGGCAACGAGGCCGACAGCGACGACGCTACGCTCGCACAGGTGCTCGAGGAGTCTAAGCGGCAGAGCCAGGAGCACTCGCGCAAGATCAGCGAGGCTAAGGCGAAGGAGGACGCCGACTTGCAGGAAGCCCTCGCGATCAGCAAGATGACCGCCAAGCGCAGGGGGCCGCCTGAGAGTCCGCCCCACCCCATGGCCAGGTCGTCCAAGGACCCCATGCCCGTGACCTCGGCGGAGACGCAGGAGAGCGTGGATCGCGCGCAGGTGTCCACAGGCCTCGCTGCCGACGACACGGCGCTCGCGTCGCCGAAGCCTCGCGAGAAGGCCAGCGCCGCGTTGCATATCAACTCCTTCAAGACCATGTGGCAGGTCTCGGGGGCGAAGACATCGCCCCGCGCCAAACGGAGAAGGATGAGGAGGATGAGAAGAAGGAAGTGGGGGAGGATTAGGAGGAGGAGAAGGAGGAGCAACAGCAGCAGGAGCAGCAAGATGAGGAGGACGAGGAGGAGGAGGAGGGAGGAGGTGTGAGATGAGGAGCGCAAGGATGAGGGAGAAGAGGAATAGGAGGAGGAGGATCGGGAGGGAGAAGGGGGCGGGAAGAGGGGGGATGGGGGAGCAGTTAAGACAAACCGAACGCCCTGCAGGGCGTCGAGGGGAAGACGTTCGACACGCCCGAAAAGGTCAGGACGGTCAGCAAGGTGAAGACCAGCCGCGACGAGTGCGTGGCCAAGGTGGAGTTGCTCCTTCGCGGCGGCGACGTCCCCGACGAGCTGGCGATCAACGACCTGATGACGGGCTTCCTGTCAAGCGACTGTCTCGGCGAGCTCTTGCACGCCAAGGGGTTCGACAAGGACACTTTGGTGCCTGCGCCTGGCCAGTTCGATGACGAGGGCACCTCTGGCGGCAGTGGCGCGGCCGCAGCAGCGCAGGCTCCGATGACAGAGAAGGAGCGCAAAGAGCACGAGCTGTGGGAGAAGACGAAGCAGAATGGCTTCGTGTTCGCAGCCAGCGCCAGGAACAACAACCCCATGGCGAGCCGCTTCGACAGGGCGAAAAAGAAGGACCCCTCCCTCAAGGCGGAGTACGACGCCTACCAGGGCGACGACGAGGGCGCCGAGCGTTTCAGGCGCAACTGGGCGGAGGGCGAGTACAACAAGTACGTCAAGAAGAAGAGCTTGACGACCAGCTTCACCAAGCAGTCGATCAAGAGCGGGTGGTACCTCCCAATCGGGAGGGTGGCCCACAAGGAGGGCGGCGGCAAATTAGGGTGGCTGCAGGCCATACGGGGCACTGCTAACTCATCCAATTCCTCACCTCCTCCTCCTCCTATTCCACCGCCCTCCCACGCGTCCGTCGGCCTCCACGGACCGTCCGTGTCCACCTTCCGCGCCGCTCTCCGGTGTCATCCGCCCCGATCCTCTTATTCCATCTCCTTCTCTTCTTGGCCCATCCTTCCCCTCCAGCCTCCACCGCCCCCACCCCCTCCACCACGTCCTCCTTCTCTCACTCCTCCTCCTCTTGCTCCTCCTCCTCTTCCACCTGCCTCGTCCTGCCCACCCTGCCTCTCCACCTTCTCGCCGCCCCTCCAGCTGAAGAGGCGCCCAAGTACATGATCAAAGCGATTCAGCTCGGTCCACCCTGGATCGCCTACTGCGAGATGACGGATATGGGGCAACCGTTTAACATTCTGCCCCACCACCTTGTCTGATTCTCTCTCTGTCTCTCTTTCTCTTTCTCCGTATCCTTCACTCTGCCTGCCAACTCCATATATCACGCACTATGCTTAGCGTTGGAAACGTCTCTGTCCAAACCCTCTGACAAACCCTCCTGCTCTGCTACGCGTCCATATTTCTCATTTCTGCCGCGTCTACTCCTCATCCACCTTCTGCTCTTGCTCCCCCCCCTCCTCCTCCTCCTCCTCCTCCTCCTCCTCCTCCTCCTCCTCCGCCTCCACCTCCTCCTCCTCTTCCTCCCAATCACCCCCCTCCTTCTTCTTGGAGTCCCCCTGGTCCTCCTTACCTTCCCCCCCCTGGTCAACGCCGTGAGTCTCTTCTGCCTTCAACTGGGCGCCCCGAAGGGGGATAGGGGGGCCTTCGCACCATCGCCCCGCCTGGCTTCCACAGAGGAGTCGCTCCGTTGCCTCTACGTGGTGAAGGGCTTCGTGGACATCTTCTCGCGCAGCTGGGTCGAGCACGAGGAGTGGTCCACGCTGCCCATGGAGGACGAGAAGGCGAAGGAACAGCGCATCCAGCAGGCAACGAGGGGAAATGGAGCCCCACTCGGCACGAGCCCCATTGCCGAATCGTCTCCAGGTCATCTGAGATGTCCTGCCGATGGTTCCACCCCACACGTTAAACGCAACGGGGGATCGGCACTGGCGCTCGCGCCGACTGGGGCACCGCGCAGGCGGCTGGCGTGGCGAAGGAGCTCGGCGTCGTGATCAACCAGAAGGGCCAGGAGACAACAGTCTGAATCCTCCGCCACTCCTTTTGATCCAACGACACCTGCCCTCTCCACCCCTCCCTGCCGTCTGCCTGCCTCTCCTACCCCTCCTTCTTCTCCTCCTGACTTCCACGCGCCACTCATCGTGCTCCTCCTCCTCCTCCTCCTCCTCTCCCTCCTCCTCCTCCTCTTCCTCCTCATGCTCCCCACCCCCCCTCCTGCCCCTCTTCCCCTTTTCTATCCCCAACGCTCGCCCTCTTGCTGACCATCCTCATCATTCTCCTGCTCACGCTCTTTATCCTCAAAGTCGCCGTCCTCACCACTCCTCCTTGACCTGGTGTGCCTATCGCCCCCCCCCCCCCCCCACTTCAGGACAAGACGGCCGCGCCCGCGGTGGGGGCCATCGTGATCGGCGCAGCCGACGGGGGCAGTCCTTCACGTATCCACATTCGCCCTTCCACAACCTTCTCCTCGGATTCACCTCGTCCTTGCCCATCCACCTCGTCGACCTCGTGGGCCCTCGTCGCCCCTCCCTCCCGCCAAGTCCTCCATTGTTCATTGTCGCTTGATGCTGTTCCTCCTCCTCCTCCTCCTTCTCCTCCTCCTCACCATTGCCCCATCCCCCCTTCCCCTCCACCTCCTCCCCCACCTCCTCCCCCTCCTCCCCCCTCACCCCCCATCCTCCAAATCCTCGCCCCCCCTCCTCCAAATCCATCCTGCTCAGGACGACTGCAAGTACGGCGCTGCCCCCGAGAGCTCGCGCGCGAGCCAGGTGGCGATTGAGGATGAGGTGAAGCTCGACGGCAAGGGCGATAAGAAAGAGAAGAAGGAGACGCCCAACAAGAGAGAGAAAACGCCGCTGGACGCTGCCATTCAGGAGGCGAGGAAAGTTCTGTCCAAATACTCGACTGTGACTGCCTCTTCGGCCACCCTTGAGCACAACGCGGATACCGTTTCCAAATGGGCGTGGGTCAAATCGGATGATGACGGGAAGAAATTCTTGAACGCGTTCGCAGAGATTCGGAGCACGTGCCAGGACCCATTCTTGAAAACAGAAATTGTATGACTTGCTCTCTCTACCACCTACCCTACCCCGCCCCAGGCTGGCATGCTTCCAACATGCATCATGCTTGTTTGAGCCCTCCCCTGGTAATCTTTCATCCACAACCTCCTCCCTCTGCAGATCCCCTGGCCCATGGCATCCTCTAACCCGCTCGTGCTCTCCAACTATTCCCCCTCCGTCATGGATGGAGGGGGTCGGGGGCGGGGGGTGCGTGGCGAGGGAGGGGAGGGGGGAAGGGTGTAGGGGAGTGGGGATAAGGGGGAGGGGCGGGCGCGACTATCGCTGTCCAAACCCATCCACTGATATGAGGCTCCGAGCAGCCATTCTAAATGCTCACCCAGGAACTCTGGCGAACCCTGGGGGCCAGCACATCATTTCTTGCCCTCGAAACGCTGAGACCTTGAAAGGGAGGGCGTGTAAGGACCATGGGTTCTGAAGAAACATCGTTTTGGCCCCAGGATGCATTGCTCAATCAGATGATCACCTCGGACATCGCCCAGCTCAAGAAGACGCTGGCCGACAAAGAGCTCCGCCGCGGGCTCGGCCTGGTGACGTCCCTGGATGGCCCCCTGAACAAGCTCGGCAAGCTGTACAAGAAGGTCGTCGACATCAGCAGGATCAGGGACAAGGATAGCGAGAGCGACGAGGCGCCCGCCAAGAAGGCCCGCAAGAAGGTTTAGGTTCGTGTTCTATCATTTAGGGGTTCGCCAGGGAGCTGTTTCAGGGGGCTGTTCGCAATTTGTTATTCTCCAAAGGTTTTTTTCATCGTTGAGCACCCGCGGGGCGCCCGGAACCTGTTTGAAACAAGATTTGACTGCATCCCGGTGGAAATCCGACCGATGACACCCCGATGACACCCCGATGACCGATGACCCGATGACGCCACCGATGACCCGGTGACGCGACCGATGACACCCCTGCGATGACATGTGTTTTTACCATCAAACCCACTGCTGGCGCAACGATGACCGATGACACCCTGGCCGATGACACAGCGACCGATGACACGATGACCGATGACAGTGCGATGACACCCCGATGACACCCTGCTGGCGCTCTGGGTTCGCTGGTTTCGAGATTCGAAGCTGGCTGCGAGGCGATTTCGCACTCGCGAGCTTTGCAGCCACTGTGTTTCCGTAGCAGGAGAGCGCATTCGCCTGCCGAAGTAATGATCGTTTTCACAAGATCCAGGTCGGAGCCCAGGAAGTGATGCCAGCAAAAGCGGATTCGCTCTCCAAGCTCGCGCAGTCAGGGAGGCTTTGCAGATCTTTGCATCTTCCGCAGAATGTTAGCACGAGACGGCACTTTCGAGATCTCAGTTGTACTCGGTGCCGCTCGCTGCAAGCCAGAGTGCTGATGCACCAGGCTTGGACGTGGTCTTTTCACGGCAGGCCTGCTTTCGCTGCGGATTCTCATGGGGCCCAGATTCTGTCGCGAAAATGAATCAGCTCGGTCGAGAAAGGGCTTGACGTGGCTGATTCGCGTGGCCTGAGAGATGCCAAAGTTCTTACCCCGATGTGTAGCAATCTATGAGTTTAAGTCCGAGTGTGTTTTGAGATCCGCATTTTTCCCTGGGAACGTTTCGATTGCGTTTCGCATTCATGGACACATCTTTGCGTTGACATACTGCTCTGACATCCTCCTCGACGTCTTACGTCTTCCTCTCCTCCACCTCCTCCACCTTGTGCCACCGCCGCCCGTCCACTCTCCGTCGGCCGTCCATTCGGCTTCTTGCGATCCTCCATCTCCTTCTCTTCCTCCTCCTCCTACCAGTGCTCCTCCAATCCTTTGCTCCATCCTACTTCGTGGTTGATTTCGTCATCTCCTCATCGCACCCCCGTGTCCTCGTCGTGTTCCTGCCCCACCCTCCCCATCCCAATATCTAACGCAAGCAAGGGGTGTGCGAGACACGAGGGGAGGGTCTAGCGACTTCCCCCCGCCCCTGGTTATGCTGGGCCGTAGTCGCCTGTGTACTCGCCCGTGGAGGGGTTGAGCGGCCAGACCGCTCGCTCGCGGCTTCCGTCGGATATCGCGCCCTCCGCCTCTCTCTCTCTCTCTCTCTCGTTCCCTATCCCCTTCTCTCTTTCCCTCCCTCCCTCTCTCTCTCTCTCTCTCTCTCTCTCCCACTCGCTCTCCCCATCTCCCCATGCATCTCGCTTTCTGCATGTCCGTCTTTCCTCCACTGCCCATGCCCAAGTGTACTATCATACCTCCTCACCCGCCTCCTCCCTCCTGCCGCCGTCGTTGTCACCGTCGGTTTTCGTTCGAACATATGGGCTGGCGGCGCGCGCAAGGCGCCGCCATCCCCCCACATATGCACCGAAACAATTGCCATGGATTGTTGCGCCGCGTTCCGACGCCGCTCTGCTCAAACAACTCAGGCTCCAAGCATGGCGCCCCAAAAAAGCGCAACCTTGAAGGGCCGCAGGCGCCAGCCCAACAGCCGCCACCGCCCGCCCAAGCGAGAGACCACCCAGGATGAACGAGATGGTGGCCACGATTTGTTTCTTTTGCTCATTCGCCTTTATGCGACCGCCAAGCTGTCTGCCAAAGAGTTGTGCCAGGCGTGTTATTTTGCCCAGAGGGCAAACGTACCTGGGGCGTCCTTCAGCCTTTACGCCCTCCCCCCTGGCCAACAGACAGGGAAATACCAATCATTGTTGGATCGAGTGCTGCCCGAGCCGAAGCATCTCACAACTATTCAAACACCAGGCAACTACAACAGAGCCGCAATCCGCACGAGTAATCCTTGCCTCGTGCGTTGCGTTTGGG